TGGAGGGCTGAGGATGCTCCACACCTGAGACTTTGCTGCTGCTGGGGGGGAGGGGCTTCACTCCAACTCCCCTGCTGCCTGGAGCCTGGGTAGGTCTGGAGCCTGGGCTGGCAGCCACGTTGCTACTGCTACAGGCACCTACTGTGTGCTGACCATTCCAACACAGATGAGTCCACTGGACAGATGCTACAGGACGCTCTAGTGGACTCAGGTCACTTGGCCCTAGCTGCTCCCCATTTCTTCCTCCCAGGGAAGACCCAGGATCCTCCAAAATGGCAGGGCCTCCTGGCCACCGGGCAGGGAAAAGTTCTCTGATGTGTTGCTTACTACAGAAGCCGGCTGCTTCCATCCACAGCACAGGAACCTTCTGCCCCGTGTCTCTGTACTGCTCAAGGTTGGTCATCCACATTCACACTCACTCACCCACACTCAGGTCCTGCCCATCGCCATTTTTCTCTGTTTATCTTTTAAAAAAACAGCTCTTAGTTTTGTTAATCTTTTCAATTTTTTTCCAATCTCTAGTTCTTTGCTCTCCTAACTTTGTGCTTATTTTGTTCTTTTTTTTTTTTATTCTTCACTGCAAAGCTAAGTAGTTTATTTCAAGTCTTTTTTTGTTCTCAATGTAGTATCTGTGGTTTTAACCTCCCTCTTAGAATTTCTCCTGCTGCATCCATATGTGTTTGTATGTTGTGTTTCCATTTTTGTTTGTTTCAGATTTTTTAAATTTCCCTTTGACTTCTTCCCTGTCCCATTGGTTGCTCAGGAATGCATTGTTTAATTTCATTGTGTTTGTGAGTTTTCCAGTTTTCCTTCTGTTGGTAACTTCTCTAGTTTCATACTACTGTGGTCCTAAAAAACACTTGGTATTTTTTGAATATTTTTATATTTTAAGACTTGTTTGTGTTTATTCTGTTTGCAGGCTTTGGACAACAGGCTGCTCAGGACTGATGCAGGGATGGTCAGGTGTGCAGACAGTGAAGCTGGGTGACAACTGGCACCTCCACTAAGGAACGAGCGGTCAAACATAGTAAAGAGGAGCAGAAATAGAAAACATTTTTGTTAATTATTTAAAAATGTCTTCAAAAGGCAATGGACTTGTGAAAGCAAAAGAATAACAATATGCAGCTGAACTGATAGTTTAGGAAATGTACACTCTAGAACAACAGTGATGCGGAGGGTGGGCGGAGGAAGTGATGATACCATGCTACAGTCTTACCATCCTCGTGATGTGATAGAACATCCCCTGCAGGTGGGCAGGATGAGTTAAAGGTGCACATTGTGAATTGTGGAGTGACCACTGAGAAAATAAAAGGAGGTACAGCTAATAAAGCAACAGTTGAAATAAAATGGAATTTGAACAATTCACACACACACACACACACACACAACAGAGAAAAGGAGGAAAGAGGGAACAAATAGAAACAAGCAGCAAGAGGATAAATTTAAACACAACCATCTCAATACTCATATTAGATGTAAATTGTCTTAATTCTCCAATTATACAACAGTTAGATTGTGTTAAAAAGCAAGACCCAATTGTATGCTCTCTACAGAAAATCCCATTTTATTTTTATTTATTTATTTTTTTAAACATTTATTATTATTATTTATTATTATTATTTTTATCCTCACCCAAGGACATTTTTCCATTTTCTGTACAGACAGAGTGGGAGGGAGATAGAGGAAGAGAGAGAGAAGGAAACATCGATGTGAAAGGGACACATTGAGTGGCTGCCACCTGCACGACCAACCAGGGCCGGGGACAAACTGCAACCGAGGCACATGCCCTTAGCGGGAACCGAACCCGGGTCTCTCCGGACCACAGGCAGACGCTCTAACTGCTGAGCCAAACTGGCCAGGGCGGAAATCCCATTTTAAATACAAGGACACAGCCCTGGCTGGTTTGACTCAACAGTGAGAACATTGGCCTGTGGACACAAGGGTCTTGGGTTTGATTCCTGGTCCGAGGTACGTACCTGGGTTTCAGGTTCAATCCTTGACCCAGTCAGGGTGTGTGTAGGAGGCAACCAAACAATGTTTTTCTCTTTCTCTCTCCCTTTCTTCTTTCCACTCTCTTTAAAATCAATGCAAAAATAACCAGATGAATTTTTTTTTTTTTAAAAAGAAAGATACACCATGCACAGATTGGACACATGAAACCTGCAGTCGCTGTATTAACGTCAAAGTGGCTCAGAGTGCTACCATCATTACATCTGGATAAAGAAGGGCCCTTCAGAACAATACATAGGTTAATTCATCAACAAGACAAGGACACTGAATGTGCCTCATAAGTGACTGAGCTTCAGAAACACAAGAGAACCTCAAAATTCAAAAAGTGGCTGCAGCACAGTCAGATGGAGACACGAACCATCCACATTCCCAGTTGGAGGTTTCAGCTCTTTTCTCAGTTCTGGAAGTTATTTTCTCCTTTTCCTAAACTGAGCACAGAACCAGGAAGAGAAGCCGGGTTTCCTAATTCACATTTCTGCCCCAACTCTGACTTGTGGTTTCATTTCCACATTTCCCACAGTCTTACCTGAAGAGGTCCCTGCAGGGACAGAGGGAGTCTAGACTGTTTTGGTTCCTGATCTTGGGCAGTGTGTGGCTTGGTGTGTACCCTGTAAGCTTTCTAGGCCTCTGTTTCTTCTTTGTCAGAAACACAGTGTTCCCTCTCCTGTTTCAAAGAGAGTGGGTTTCCCGAAATCACTCTGAGTGGACTGAGCACGAGGCTGTTGACAGCCTTGCGGGGATGTGACCCGGGGTGTTGCCAGGGTTCTAGGAGGCTGATTCTCAGCTCGGCCTGGACAATGTCTGGCCCTGACCAGGACACTGCTATTGGAACTTTCAGGAAGAGGCTGAATTACACCAGGTGTAGCAGATCATGCCCACAGGGTTAGCATGTCATTCCTGGGGGGTGGGCGCTGGCCATGGATGAACAGAGACTGGAGTTGTCCCTTCTTGAGCAGGGTCATCTGTCCTCTGAGTGGAGAGGAGGGAGTGAGTGTGGGGACCAGGGGACAGACATGGGGTGGGGACCATTATCCACTCTTCCCTTCAACAGAGGAGATTAGCTTCCTCAATGGGTAGAGAAAAGGGGGCAATGGCCATTTACTCCTTACTTCTCCATCCTTCAGTGACAGTGCATGGGTGTCTTCCAAACCCAGAAAAGGCCCTTTTCAGATGTAGAATCCAGCCTTGGAGGGCCATCAAGAAGGCCTTATCCCAGATTCCCTGACCTTAAGGGGTGGTGACACTGCTGAGGGGGCAGGGCAGAAGGTGTTTCTGTTTCTGTTCTCTCTCTGTTAGAGAGTTCTGGCTCGATTCCATGTGGTCCCTGAGCACATCCCACGTGACTTCACTTCTCTGAAACATCTAACATTTGTTTCATGGCTCAGCATCTGGCCTATCTTGGTATGTTCCATGTGCACCTGAAAAAGTGTGTCTTCTACAAATATTAACTTCTACAATATTAATTAGCTCTGTTGATTGAGAATGTTAAGGGAATTCTTCTAGGTCCCGGCTCATTTTCTATGGAGCTGTTCTGTCCATTGTTGGGGGGTGATGTCTCTAACTACCATTGTGGGTTTGTCTGTTGCTCTTTTCAGTTGTCAGTTTCTGCTTCATATGGGTGGCATCCCTGCTGCTGGGAAGACACCTTTAGGATACCTCTGTCCTCTTGGTGGAGTGGCCTCTATATCACTATACAGTGTTCCTCTCTGCGTCTGGTAATTTTCCTTGTTCTGAAGTCTAATTCATTTGCTGCCCATACAGCCATGCCTTCTTCCTTTTGCATGAGTAAGATTTCCACCATTTATCTTTTCCATCCTTTCATTTCCAGCCTGTTTCTACCAAAATATGTTAAAGGACTTTTCTGTAAGCCGGGAATGGTTGGCTCATGTGCTTTAATCTCCTCTGCCAATCTCCGTCTGTCACTTGGTGTGTAGGCAGCAAACCCAGTCCCTTCCCTAATGTGTCCTGGATTGCAGCCCCCGTGGGGTGTGCCTGTCCCCTGGGAAGCCTGGGTGCTCTTCCTACCTTTCCACCAGCTCTGTTGCTGTCCCCTGGGGACTCTCTAGGCTCCTTTCCTCCCCATCAAAGAGCAATAAGCAAATATTTTATGCTCACATCAGATATGGTGCTATTCATGTTTCTCATTTTATTTCACTAGTGATCATACCATTTCTCAGCAAAGGGACTTGGTAGACTCTTCCTGTGTGTTCCTTGCAAAAGTATATTGACCAGTGGACAAGACCAAAGTCAAGATTCCCTATCAGTGCCTCTTCTAAAATCTGTGCACAACCCTTGAACCACAGTGACCCTGGCAGCAGAGGCAAGGGCAAGTCTCTGCTTTTGCAGTGTTGTTCCCCTTCATGTTCACGATGGTTTCCAGGCCATCTGTGGACCTCTTGCTCCAATATGTGCTCAACTCTTGCCGATTATTGTCCCCTGTCATCTGTCTTTAGAAATCTGAGGGCAGCAGTGACTTGGGAGTACTGTAGGGAAGAGACATAGAATTAGCCAGCTCATGGGAGGTGAGCGTGAGTGTGTGTGAGGGTGGAGACGCTGGGGCTGAGCAGGTGTGTGTGGAGACATGATCCTGGCTCACCTGGCTCCTTTCCCTGGACCAGAGAGCTGACTCCGCTAGATTGCATGGGACAGAGGGGAGGCTCTGCCATGATTGTCACCAGTTCTCAGCCCACAAAGACCTGTTTACCCTTAACTTTGAGACTGAGATAAAAATTTCCAAACCTCCTCTTTAAAAAATTTTTTTTAATTTACCTGAATTGAAAAGCATATCCTCACACTATGAGTTGTCCGGCAGTGGGAAAATTCTCTGGAAGTAGACATTCTGTGAGTCTCGTTGTCTCCTAGGAACTTGAGTTTCTAGTTCAAGTGTCCTTGGACTTGTCGAAGCCTCTGCACTCAAGCGGCTAATGGATGTGAATGGGGACATAGGGGAGATGTCCCCTAATGGGACAGATGGACAGGTCTTAGTGTCTTGTCTCCTTATGGGCTCACCCCACCACTGCTTGTGTGCCTGTGTGTCTGTCTGCACGTGGGTTGTGGTTTTTGCAGGTGGGCTTAGGAATGACAGGGCAGTGTCTTTGTTCAGTGGGCATATAAGGCGGATGGACAACATCTACAAACATTGTTTTCCGTGAACACCATGTGGACATTTAGGGCATTTATTTATTGAATTCAGATTCAACTGAAAAATGGGTCTGGACTGAGGCTGCCTATAGGCACTGGCCCTTTGTCCCCTGGGGAGACAAGGAAGGATTCAATGACGGGACAGCAGCCTGAGGTCAGAGGAAAACAGGCAAAAGCAACAGCAGTTGTTTGGCATCAGACAGAGAAGAGCTCAGGGAGGCCCAGGTCACATGGGCAGGATTGGTGGGGGAGATGGGACCCAGAAGGATTTTGTCCTTGGTAGATGACTGCTGGTGAGGGACAAGGAAAGCCTGCGGGACCTGGAGGCCAGGACACCAGGGAAGGATGTGATTGTCAGTTGGTGGGTCAGAGTCCTGTTTCCAGTCTTTCACTCAGGAGGGACCTCAAGAGTGGCCTTGGACCAGTGACTGGAGAGCAGCCAGTAAGCCAGGAGCAGGCCACCCAGCAAGGCCACACACAGCTTCCTTGTCGCCATGCACTTGGGCAGCCAACCTAGCAGCCAGTGTCGCCGCCACCCCTGCTTGCGGCTGGCCAGTGCCTCTTGCACCCTTCGCAGCCGCTCCTCCGGGGTGCTGAACTTCAGCTCCTGCAGCAGGCGGTACACGTCATTGGAGTAGGGGACACCCCTATGGTCCTGCACCAGGCGCTCCACCAGCGACAGCAGCTCCAGCATCTGGGCCTCCTGCTCCCCGCCCGCAGCCTGGTTGTTAAAGGCGTAAATGCGGCCCCCGCACTGGGCAACCAGCAACCTCAGTGCTCGGTTGTCCGTGTAGCGCACAAATTCCTGCAGGGACTCCCCGGCCAGGTCCTCCTTATGTGTGAACAGGAGGATAGTGCGCCTAAGCACCTCGTCCCCGAACAGGTCCTTGAGCGCGCTCACAGCCTGCTGGTCCTGCGCAGTGAAGCGGCCCAGCTGAGTCACCAGGAGCAGGGCATGGGGCCCGGGAGCCGACAGCACATAGCAGCGGGCCCGCTCCTCATACCTCATGTCTGTCTTGGAGACTTGGGAGCTGAAAAGGTCCGGGGTGTCCATCACTTCCACGTGCCACCTGTCCCATGGGCAGCTCCCCACCTCGCAGGTTCTGGTCACCGTGGTGGCTCCCAGCTTGGAGAGGAAGCGCCTCTGGCGCAGGATGCTGTTCCCGGTGGCGCTCTTCCCAGCCCCTGTCTTCCCCACCAGGATGAGCCGCAGCCGGGGCTCCTGCGTGGGCTCTTCCCAACCTGGAGGACAGTGATCTGTGAGCTTCCAAACCTGAAAGCACCTGATCCTGGTTACAGGGACACCCAGAGCCCTTTGAACAAGGAGAGCAACAGCGCCTCCCTCTGCTCATCCAGCCAGACCCTTACTGAGGCCATTGCTCAGAGCACGCTGAACTCCGGGGTCTCCTCCAGCCCTTCCTGTCATCTGGCTTCCCCACGGGCACCTGCAGATGCTCCCCACCTGGTGGGCCTTTCTCTAGGGGACGCTCTTCACAACTCCAGGCCGACCTCAGCTGCATTATCCCTGGTCATCCACACCGTGTGGAGCTGTCCCTATCTGAGACTTCAGTGGCCTGTGCCATAGTTGCCTCAGATTGCAGCCCACAGAAGACGGGCAGGAGGGAGCAGTAGACCTGGGGGTGAAGGTCTGTCTGGACTCCCAGACACTCTGGACTTGACTCACACCCTGCCACCAGCCAGCTGTGCCCCCTTGGAAGTAGCTTAATCTAAGTGTTAAACCTTTGTGCAGAAATGGGAATATTACATAGAGTTGTTTCTCCTGGGGTTGTTGAGAGGATTAGATGAGATCACCTTCTTCCTTCTTCCTTCTGTCTTTCTCTCCTCCTCTGTCCGCTCTTAGGCCTGCTGCCTACTAATAAGACACCTGTTCAACCCCCATCCTGGTTCACTACCACTCCACCTGGTGAATCACGCTCTGCATCCTCTTCTGTGGGGACCAGCGTAGGTTTGATCTCATTTTACAGTCTGGGAAGGGAGGCACAGTAGTCAAAGAAGTCACATCTCCCAGCTGGGCTGGGGCAGAGACCCAGCTGAAAGCACATCTCAGGACTCTTGCTGTCTCACCCCAGACACCTCAGAGACCCCTTTGGGGCTGTCTGTTCAGTCCTGAGTTCACCCATTCCCCTCATACCCAAGGCTCACACCTGGGGCAGGTGTGCAGTGTGCATGTCCTTACCATAGGAGCTTTCTTCATCTCGTACCATCTTCCTTCCTCCCATGACTACCTGGAAGAGTCCCAAACACAGCTTGTTCATTCATCATCCATCCATCCATCCATCCATTTATCCATCCATCCATCCATCCAATTGGTATAAATTCCTACAATGTGTGAGGCCAAATCCAAAGAGCTGGTGACACCACAGTGACACAGTCGTGGTTCCTGCTTCCTCTGAACCTCAGAGCAGAGGGAAGAACATGGCAAGGACCTGGGCTGGGGTAGGAATGACACCGTGAGAGGGTTGGGGAGCTTGGTTTGTGTTTCAGGGACATGAAATGCAAGGGCAGCTGGGGGATTGCCACACCCACTCCTGTCAGTGAGAGACCTTTACACAGTAATTTCCCAGGCAATTCTATGTCGGTGACCAAAGCTGTGGACATCAGGGTTTCCCAGGAAAGCTCTCGACCAGGGGAGACATTGGGAAACCCTGAGAACTAGAAAGGTGGCTCAGTGACTTAGAGAAGCACCTAGAGGGGCTGGCCTGGGGGGCAGACAGGAGGTGAAGTGGAATTTTGGTTGGAATCTGGAAAAGAAACGTATGTCCCAGGTGATCCATAGCTGGTGACTCTGCTCTCGGGAAGTCAAATCATCATCTGTTCTCAGTGTGCCTAAATGTGCTCGGTGTCCTGCAGAGACTGGGACAGTCCCCTCTAACTCCTGATGTCCTGCCCTAAGCTGAGGCTCCTCAGTGTAAGAGGTTCCAGCCAGTGAGTCATCATTTAATACAGTGAAACATCTGTGCTCACAGAGTCCTGAGCACAGTGCAGTCTGCCCTCAGTCTACCTCTCCAGCTCAGGACAACGACCCCCTCACTCAGATGCCCCCAGAGAACAGATGTCGGGCCTTTGCCAGCTGCCATGTGCTCTCAGGCCTGTGCCCGGTACCCTCCCCCACACCCTGAGTCCTGCATGTGCTTCTCAGTCTTTTTCCAATTCCACCTCCTCACGTGGTCCACCTGGTTACTGCAGGTGACTGTGTTCTTTCTGCACAAGGAGCAGCCAAGGAAGAGGTGGGCAGGATACCTTGTCTCTGCCAAAGGACTTAGATGACCAGCTGGCCTGGTCCTGTATGCAGAGGCGGTCCTGGTTCTCTAGGGACCCCCTCCACAGCAAAGCCTTCAGTCCTGTTCACCCCTATTCAAATGACACACTCCCAGGACTGACAGGGACCAGAAATGGAGGAAGGGCCATGGCTGCAGAGCGGAGCCCAGGGACTGAGCTAAGGGGAGGCTCCCGGGCAAAGGTGGAGGTGAGAAGGCTCAGGGTGACCTTAGCCCAGTCCTGAAAGAAGCTTTGTGGGCCCTCGGAGGAGAGGGGAGTGTTTAGGCGGTTCAGCCGGTACACACAGGATTTTCACTCTGTAACATGTTCTGAGGCTAGACTCGCTTCTGTGTCCTCAGACATTTCCTGGCCTGTGCCCAGCATGCTCATGGGGATTGTCTGCTGCCACTAAAGCCCTGTGCCCTCAGGGGGCAAGCAGACTTCTCCTTCCTGGTCAGGGGAGGAGGGGAGGAGAGGGCTGTCCCTGAGCAGGAGCCTGGGCACCCAGGCTGGAGGAGATGCTCATGCTGCTCCGGACCTCCTGTGTGAACCCCGCAGCCCTACACAGGGGTGTGGAGCTACTCCCAGGCCCCGCTGCCCTTCCTGGTTCCACTAGAACAGAGGCTCCCTCAGCCGGCTTCTTCCAGGTGCTCACAGCTCCTACTCCCTGGGGGCTCCCTTCCCCCACTCAGGCTCACCTTTCCTGCAGAGTTGGTGACAGGCTCTGACGCTGGCCCTGAAGTCCCTGAACTACCGCTGTCCTCAGACTGTGAGCACCGCAGGCTGCTCCTCCCAGTACAAAGGGAAGTGTCCCGCCTCTCAAACCTCAGAGGGCAGGAAGCCCAGGGAGGGGGGGCCCAGGGGTGACAACTTAAAGAGACAGGATCACTCACCTCTGAGGCAGGGGGGATGGGAAGTTTCCTCTGTGCAGCCCTGCCATGGTCTATCCTGATGTTCTCAGAAGGTCCCTCGATGCCAACAGCTTGTCCCCACAGGGGCTGTAACCTCAGAGGAGAAGAGCCTTAGGTTTCTGAGGCCTGTTTTCACTTCTTGCCTTGATCACTAATCTTGTTTTTGGTATTTTCTCATAAAATGGCCCCTCAAGAGTCCCCTTCCCTGAGATTGTACCACCAAGGGTTCCTAACGACAGGTCATCACATGAAAGGTCTCATCTCAAAGGAAGGAAGGTTTTCCAACTGTGAACAATGGGGCATCAGGGAGAGGTGAGCCCTTTCCTGCAGAGCTTCCTCTGCTATCTCTGCAGGTGTCTCCCAGCAGAGGGTCATGAGCAAGTGAGGAAAGAGCCAGTGACGGTGCGGGGGAGGGTGGCCAAAGAGGATTATGGTGATGGGGGCCTGACCTGGTCAGGTCAGTAACAAGGATGTGACCTTGCCTACCTCACTCACACTCTAGGATTGGACCTTGCCCCCAGAGAGGGAGGGTTTAACTTCATCTGAAGCCAATCGGCTGGGGTCTGATTTCCCCCATCCTTGCCAGCTCGTTTTGTCTAATTAAGAACCCAGCTCCCACTGACCTCCACCCAGTCCCCATCAGCTCAGTGAGATCTAGCTGGCATGTAACATTGTGTAATTTAAAGTATACCATGTGTTGATTTGACACATTTACATATTTGAGAGAATGATCAACACTGTAACTAATGCCTATATCATGTCCTATAATTATTTTTTCTTTTCTGTGGTAAGAACATTTAATATCTCTCTTAGCAATGTTCGAGTACAAAATACATAGGATTATTAACTGTAAGCACTTTGTTTGCTTTCGATCCCCAGAACTTATTCATCTCTAACTGGAAGTTTGTACTGTTTGACCAATGTCTCCCCAATTCCCCCATCCACCAGCCCCTGTAACCACCATTCTACCCTCCATTTGTGTGAGTTTGGATGTTTAAACTTTTACATGAAAAAGTGACATTATATAGTATTCACTATCCTCCGTTTGACTAATTTCACTTAGCAAATGCCCTCAAGGTCCATCTGCAAATGGAAAGAGGTCCTTCTAATTCTCATGGAAAAATACACGCGCGCGCATGTGCATGCACACACACACACACACACACACACACACACACGTGGGCAAAAGTAGGTTTATAGTTGTGAATATTCGAAGTAGTTAATTCTTGGATTATTATTTATTAATTATTTACTGTTTTATTTATTTTGTGTACTCACAACTGTAAGCCTACTTCTGCTCATGCCTGTACATCTGTCTCACATCACCTTTGTCTATTCATCCACACACAGAGCCTCAGGTGTTTCCACATCTTGGCTCTTGTGAGTAATGCTGCATTGAACATGGGAGTGCAAATGTCTCTTTGAGATCTTGTTCTCATTTTCTTTGGGTAGATTTCCAGATGTTTCCTATGGTGGTGCTACTTTTGATTACTGAACACTCTTCATACCGTTTTCCATAGTGGCTGCCCCAGTGTACATTCCCACCAACAGTGCACAAGAGTTCCCTTTTCTCCACATCCTCACCAACACTTACTGTATCTTGCCTTTTTGATAGTCGCTGTTCTAACCGGTGTGAGGTGATAGCCCTTTGAGATTCTGATTTGCATTTCCCTGATAAATAGTAATGCTGGGCACCTTTTCTTGGTGGCCGTTTATATGTCTTCTTTAGAAAAATGTCTGTTCAGTTCCTGTTTTCATTTGTTTAAATCCTCACCTGAGTACATATTTGCATTTATCTTCAAATAGAGTGGGAGGAAAAGAGGGAGGAAGAGAGAAGCATCATTGTGAGAGAGACACATTGAGTGGTTGCCATCCACACAACCCCAACTGGGGCCAGGGACTCTCTGGTCCATAGGCTGATGCTCTAACTGCTGAGCTAAACCAGCAAGGGCTCCTCTGTCCATTTTTAAAAATTGGATTGCTTGTTTTTTGCTACTGAGTTATATGAGTTCCCTATGTATTTTGCATACTAACTCATCAGACATGTGACTTGTACCTGTTGTTTCTCATTGTATGGATTAACTTTCCTTTTTATTTTATTATTATTATTTTTAAAATTTTATTTTATACCTCATTGACACCCTCCTCTCCATTCCCCCCACCTCGTCCCTGGCTTTGTTGTCCATGTCCTTTGGTTATGCGTACATGCATGGAAGTTTTGTGGTTTATCTCTTCCCTCCCCCACCACTCCTTCTTCTGAGGGTTGTCAGTCTGTACCCTACTTTCACGTCTCTGGGTCTACCCTATTCCTTAGACTGTTATGTTCATTATATTCTACAAATAAGTGAGATCATGTGGTATTTGTATGTATGTACATACAATGAATATATGTACCCCCATGTTCATAGCAGCACTATTTACAATAGCTAAGATCTGGAAATAGCCCAAGTGTCCATCAGTAGATGAATGAATAAAAAATCTGTGGTACATTTACACAATGGAGTACTATGCAGGTATAAGAAAGGAAGATCTCTTATCCTTTGAGGTGACATGAAGGGACCTGGAAAGTATTATCTGAAGCGAAACAAGCCAAGCAGAAAAAGACGAAAAAAGATTGACTTTTCATTTTGTTGATAGTTTCCTTTGCTGTGTGGAAGCTTTTTTATTTGACATAGTTTCATTTATTTATGCTCTGTTTCCTTGCTTTTGGTGTCAAAACCAAATAGTCATTGCCAAGACTGATGTCGAGGAGCTTACCCCCTTAGTGTTCTTCTAGAAATTTTATGGTTTCAGGTCATATGTTCAAGTCTTTTCCATTTGCAGTTGATTTTTGTGGATAGTGTTAGATTACAGTCCAATTTTATTCTTTTGTAGGTGGCTGTCCAGTTTTTCCAGCACCATTTATTGAAGAGACGATCCTTTCCCATTGAATATTCTTGACTCACTTGTCAATTAACTGATCATCTAGTTTTGGTTAATTACTTGACCATCTATTTCTGTTTTGTTCCATTAATTAATGTGTCTGGCTTCTTTTTTTTTTCAATGCCGATACCATTTTGTTTTGATTTGTATAGCTTTGCAGTAGAGTTTGAAATCAAGATGTGCGATGCTTCCAGATTTGTTATTCTTTCTGACAACTTCTTTGAATATTCAGGAACTTTTGTGTTTCTATATAAATTTTAGCATTGTTTTTTCTATTTCTGTGGAAAATGCCATTGGAATTTTGATAGGAATAGCACTGACTTTGTAGATCTCTTTGAGTACTATGGATATTTAAAAAATATTATTTCTTCCAACGCATGAACACAAAATATCTTTTCATGTATTTGTGTCTTCTTCAATATTTTTCACCAGTATCTTATAGTTTTCAATATATAGGTCTTTGACTCATTGGTTAAATTGATTCCTAGGTATTTTACTCTTTATGATGTTATTGTAAATGGGATTATTTTCTCAATTTCTCTTTCTGATAAATTATTATTAGCATATAAAACTTAAACAGAGTTTTCATATTGGTTTTGTGTCCTGAAAATTTACAGAATTTGCCTTTCATTTCTCCCAGATATTTTGTGTGTGTGTGTGTGTGTGTGTGTGTGTGTGTGTGTAGTCTTTAGTATTTTCTCTATATAAGGTCATGTCATTTCAAAATAGAGACGATTTTACTTTTTCCTTTCTCATTTGGATTCCCCCTTTTTTTCAGACCTAATTGCTCAGCTAGGGCTTCCAGTACTGTCTTGAATAAAAGGGGTCAGAGTGGGCATCCTTGTATTTTTCCTGATCTTAGAGGAAAAGCTTTCAGCATTTTACTGTTGGGTATTATCTTAGTGGTGGGCTTGTCAAATATGGGCTTTATTATGCTGAGATACATTTCCTTTTTACCCAGTTTGTTGAGTTTTTATCATGAAAGAATATGGGATTTTGTCCAATGCTTTTTCTTTATCTAGTGAGATAATCAAATAATTTTTATCTTTTATATTGTTAATGAGGTGTATCACATAGACTGCCTATGGATGCTGACCTATTCTTTTGTCTATTGATTCGGTTAATGACACTAGTTGATTTATGAATATTAAACCAGTATTGCATTCCTGGGATAAATTCCTCTTTGTCATGGTGTGTACACTGTTTTTCATATTCCTGGATTCTTTTTGTTAGTATTTTGTTGAGGATTTTTGCATTCATATTCATAGGAGATACTGATCTGTAGTTTTCTTTTATTGTGTTGTCTTCCAGTTCAGTACATTATAGGAGTTGGAATGTGTTCTTTCCCTTCTAATTTTTGGAAGACTTTGTAAAGAATTGATATTAATTCTTCTTAAATGTTTAGTAGAATTCACCAGTGAAGCCATCTTGGCCTGGGTTTTACTTTGTAGGTGATGATTTTATTAGTAATTTAATCACTTTATATATTATAGGTCTATTTAAATATTGTAGGTTTCCCTGAGTCTGGGTAGTTAATAATTTTTCTTTCCATGTATGCTATCTAATTTGGGAAGCATAAAATTGTTCATAATATTTGCATATACTTGTTTTAGTTCCATATACTCAGTAATAGTGTCCCTTTTATTCCTGATTTTAGTAATTCTCTGTATGTTTTTGGTCAAGCTAGGTAAAGATTTGTCAACTTGTTGATATTTTCAAAGAACCAAGGTTTGTTTTGTTGGTTTTCTGTATTGTTTCTTTATTCTCTAGTTCATTAATTTGCACTCTACTATTTATTATATTCTTCTTGTGATTGTTTTAGGTTTTATTTGTTGCCTTAATCACTACCTTAATGTGGAATATTAGGATATCAGTTTGAGACCTTTCTTCTTTGTTCTTACAGCTACTTGTACATTTCCAGCTATACATTTTTTTCTAAGCATTGCTTTAGCTGTATCCCATAAGTTTT